CATTTGCTTCAACAGGCAAGACTGTCGCTGCATCCGTATATCGAAAAACACCCAACACCCAATAAGATTTACTTAAAAGAACTGAATCATACGATTAGTTGATTTACTTTCAGTGTGGAACTCATTTCGTTTCTTAAACACTTAACTTACACCCGTATAATTCACATTCTACACAAACACATTTGTATTATTTTAATAAGTCAAATAATTCACTTCACTTGCCACGACATAAACCAGCGGCCATCACTGAAACTGAATACCGATTGCCAACTGACACAACACGAAATAGGTTGGAGATAGTTTAGAGTTAAAACAATCGAAACTCGTCTAGCGATTTCATGGCCTTCTGAGATTTATTACGTTTCAATATGACACAGCTGTTCTACAGAACTGCCATCTTCCGACACAGACATAAATCACCATTCCCGTCTGGACATACGAAATCTTTCAAGGCCAACGACACGGTTAAAACAGACGCTGATTTATTCAGGTTGACTGTCATTCGTAGGTGTATAAATAGTCTGGATCCTAGGTTACATTTTTGCTGTTAACCGCTTAAAATTTCAGCCGTAGGCGTGCAACGTTTCCTAAATTGTGGGTCACTCTGTAGAATACGTAGCTCACTGTAGGTCAATCAGATATTTTGACATTCGGTTATAAACATATAAAAGTTATTATTATTTTTTTGTTTCATTTAATTAATTTTCAGTCAACTGAAGAGCTGGATAGCCTAATTAGTATACTGAGCAGACAACGGAATGAATGGCGAGAGATTGGCTGTTGTCGAGAGATCGATTCTCGACAACAGCGTCCAGACTGCATTTGGTATCGATTCATTTCCGTATTGCGTGAATCGATTTCCTTTGTCCATACGTAAATTCCGATTATTACTTGTGTTAGTTCTCTAAGTGAGCTAATTAGTTAGTAATAATTAAGAGGAATATATTGAAAAATTTGCATAATGATAACATCCATAATTTATACTCTGAACCAAGTATTATTTTGATCAAGAGAGGCGAATAGTAACAAAGGAAGAGAAGGAGACTCTCATGACCTCTGAAACGTCGGCCGATCGTGAGACAGTTTGAAATTTAAAATTAAGATTTAATCTATATTCATTTTCACGTTTTAGGAAAAATGTTTCCATTCTATTGTATAATCCCCATAGAAGGCAACTCAAGAAAGTTCGTGTTTAACTTTTGAGATGATAAGCCTCCATTCTTTTTGGTGAATCTTCTCAATTACCAAACCATAAGACCCGCCTCTCTCGACGAGATATCTCGTGAGTAACACTGAAGCGTGTTTAAAAACCTGATGTAACACGCGGATCGGCTGATTAATGGATCTTGTCAGCCACAATTTGATACCAGAGCGCATTTTTGATAAATGACTGCCTAAAATAAAGCTAATGTGGCTTAGAGAACAGCGGTGATATGGCGATTTAATGCTATGAAATTCCGGTTAACATTATGTTTCGTTTTCGGGATATAATACGTAAGGTAAAGGTGGTTTAAAGCCCTCGTGGAAAAACCGAACTGGCTATTGTGAAGTCTGGAAATGGACGACTTAACAGCTGTTTTTCGAAAGGCTTTTAACTTTCACCCAAAACGCAGTAGACTTGCAGCTGCTATCGATACGTAACTCAGCAAGGAGTATGCATGTGCCCTTCTTGCTCTGACAGACATGCTCTATACGTTATCATAGTTACATCACAAAATTCGCTCATCGTAAGGAATTTGTTTGTTATTCTGATTCAAGAACTAGTGTAATGTATAAACAGCTCTGTAATATTAATAATTAATTTTATATTTTTATTTTAAAAAAACTCGTCTCTTCTCTAGATGTAATATTAATTATGAAAATTCTAACAAAATAAACAAGATAAAACGTTTTCAAATGTTAACAACACGAAAAATAAGCTTGACGTTAAAGTTCGAAAATCTTTTAACACGCGTACTTTATATTTCTGCCTTTTTGTCAGCCATTTTGTGTGGTTTTGTGAGGTTAGGTTTATTTATTCGAGGAAAAATTAACGAATTACTGAAAGTGAATAAAAATTTGTTCCTTGGCAAATTATTTCGACCTCAGACAGATGACGTAATTTGGAAATTTAGAATTTAGAGACTTCCTGGCTTTAAACGAGTCTCTTAATAGTATCAAATCTATGCTACGATGGGGTGGACATACAGATCGGATGGAAGGATACTCAGTGGGTCTCTATTATACAGTGTAGCCAATTTTCCGGAACGACAATTTCCCTTAGCGCAACAACACAATTGTAATTTTAGACATTAGAGACTTTTTAAGAACGTTGCATTCTAAAATCTCTGTCGCAAAAGAAATAAATTATTTCCGTACTGAGTTTGCTGTCCTACTTACAGCCGGAAGAAAAGTATCTATATTTATCATTACATTTAAACCCTACTTAGGCTTATTGGCGGAATAAAAATAATTTATGAAACTGTTTCACGTGTCCGTGTCCCTTCAAATGAAATAAAAAAAAATTGTCAGCTTATAAAAGAGGATTTTCGACACCTGAATCGGTACCAAAGACAATCGAAAAAGGAGCACTTAGACTTCATGAAATTTGCAGCAAGATGCATTTGGCTCTGACGTACTTTTAAAATCCGTCTTAATTAGTAACTCACGGACTGAACTCCAAAATTCTACCGAATGCATTAAACAAATATCGACATAACATCACTCGTTTTACAAACACGTGACCCAGAGTCACTGCAGAGTGGTTAGCATTTCTATTTCGTATTTTGAAGGCCCCCGATTCAGATCTCCACCCGAAAACCGACTACCTTCTTCAAGTCTTTTTTTAATTTTTTTGCTGTCAGTAAGGAGTGTCTGAGAAAATATCTCGAATTCATACTATCTTCTGGGACGTTTTAGAGGTACTTGATGCCTCCAAGTACCTCTTAATAAATTAGTCCACGACCACTTCCTATCCCATCCTCTCCATCAGACTCAATGCCAGCGTCGTTAAACAAATACGATTATTGATGTTTGCGCGATGTATCACGGGCTGTTAGCACAGGCGAGCCATCTGTCAGTTGCGTCTGAACTACGATAAAGGAATTAAAGGGAACTTCCGTCATGCGCAGTAGATACTGAAAGACACATGACGCCAGCCTTGAACGCAGGTACGTTGTGGTTGCAGCAAGAAGGGAGTAAGACACGCAGTTTCACCCCCCCCCCCCCCCCCCCCACTCCAATTTTGAATTACAATGCCAAGCCATTGCCCTTCCTTGTCAGACGAGTAACGGACAAACGGTTCTACCGGTCGCTTTAAATTCAAATTGCACAGTAAACCACCTGGCGGTGAGTAACCAGGTGGCAAACGTTTTGAACCCAGGGAATTTAAACGGATGTCAATAACATCCAGCTGTAAAGGACAAGTGGTATGGAAACTACAATTAAGTCCCTTTCAAGAACTAACTGACGCCTGGAATTTTTAATTATCCACGCCGTAAACATGTTAAAAATAATTATTATGTCCACGATTTACACTGCATTTGTCGCCTGCTCGTTTAACGCCAGTTTCTTAACATTTCCTACAAGAATATTATTAAAATGTATGTGTGCCTTGTTAAATGCCTGTTGTGATACGTAAACGTTTCCTTTTCTACTTCGACCATCGTCTAAATGATACAAATTATAAAACTACGACGTTTCGAAGCTGAATTCTGTTCCCGTCTTCAGGTAGAACGGGGCGGGGAGGACATAAAGCCTATTTGCTAAGTCCCCTGATTGAGTGGCCTGTGAACACGGTAATGAATTTTCGGGTTCGGTAGGAGGATAATTTCTTGACTAGCGAAGCTACTATCAGCTTCTGAAGAAGCACTCTGTTTCATGGCATTAGTTAAGCGCATATATTTATGTCCATTATTTTAATTCGACTGAATATGGAGTACTTAATCATCCGGTCATGAAAGCTAGCAATGGCTGGGGGTTCGTCGTGCTGTCCACACGTCATCCTATATCTGGTTGCATGATCGTTCACCTCTGCGAACGTGAGGCCAGCAGCCAGCTAGTCGGCTTTGGCTCTCTGGAGTATTATTTTCCAGTAAAATTGCACACGGAAACATTAAGACAGTATGAAATAATTGTTACTATCGCATTAAAAATTTATGGCAAGTATAAATCGTAATTAAACGTGGATGCAAAAATATATAATATATTTTCTGAATAAGAAAAAGCTTTGTTGTGTAAATTTATAAATGCTGAATGTGCTGTTTCTCGGTTGGCGAGACCTTGAAACATGCAATGTCAACGTACCAAACTACTCCATCTGTTGCTAAACGCGAGAAGGTAAATGTTCCGGAGATTACAGCCTTCTGCGCTCTAACGGAGTAAGTGGGAAACTTGTGTAGATCACAGTCCTCTAACAACGAAATTTTGTTCTCGTCACCCGAACGCGAACTTGCTCATCCGAAAACATCCGAACAAAGTCGAAGTACAATGGATACAACGTGGTAAATTTGACAGTCAATTAATTAAATTGGGGAAATAGGTTAGGTAGTTCACCTTTGCTATGCTTGTTCCGAAAGACTTTGCTCTTCTCAGGCAATCCATTTTTTTATTTCTAATTTCTTTTGGTCATTTTTCGGTCGTTCCAGAACGCCCCCCCCCCCCGAATTACACCATTACTCTTATGGGAAATTGCTACCCGCTTACAAACACTTGGCAGGAATGTAAGTGTTCGTAAGAGGGGAAGTGTGTACTTAATGGTCCTAACAAACATGAAATTCAGTCATCATATCAGATAAAAATCATAATGCATACACTTCGAGCAACCGGCTTCTCCACGCTTCCTGGTTTTTTAGATTTCGATGGTACACGCGATGGACAAAGCGAGATTTGCCAAAATGAAAACACAAGCACAGGTGAAGGACACTGACGGGAAGAACAAAAAAAGACTGGACTTGGAAAGGCGAAGCAAGGAAATTAAAAACTGCGGGGTAGATAATGGAAATATTTGAAATCAAAGACAGTTTACTTTACCTCAACAACTATTCTCTGTGATTAAACCATTTTAATTTTCAATTCTGAACCCTTCCACAGAGCAAGCAGCATGTTGATTAAAATACAAAATGCAATCATACAAGACACGACATTTTCATGAACACGTAACCGAAGGTCACTCCAGCTATGACCAAGATCAGTATCTGCCGGAGCGTCCCTCCCTCTCCTTATCGGAACGGCCCCTCTCGCTGCCCTTAGTCTTACGACGATCCCTGTCACGATCGCGACCTCCGCGAGAGCGAGAACGTGATCTTGAGCGACGATATCCAGCAATCTTCTCACCATCACGATCACGGCTACGGCTTCGAGAGCGAGACCTGAAATGAAAACAGACACCTTGTAAACATCCAGTTTCGTTAACCAAAAATCACTGTGTAGGATCACAAAATTTAAAATGGTCCGACTTTTATTTACAGTGTGTGTCAGCGTACACGTGTGCACAAAGCAGCCGGCTGTGCACTGCGGCAGTGCTAAGGTGATAACCCCAGAGACAGAAGCCCCATCGTACGGGGACTTAAATCCCCTAATCCATTTAAAAAAGATCCTCCGGCAATGAGGGGCAAAGTTTCTGCTGGGCTTAAACATTTCAACACTCTGAAGTTATTCTTACAGCAAGTGACAGTCTTAAACTGTTTTCTTTTACGTACAATTTCCTTGTTAAATTTTTATTTCCAATTCCATCATTAACTTATGAAAGTTATTTGAAGTTATTTTCCTGTGCGTTTATTTGTTACTCACCTCCGGCCCCTCCGACGGCGACTGTACAGATAGCGGCGCAACTCTCGTGAGATTGGCTTCAGGTGCATGAAGTTGCAGAATCCACTGCGGGTACACTCACTGAAACACCGAACGATAACTTCATTTCAAAATAAATCTTATTCACGACTTCAAGCGCGTGTATCTCAGCCAGTTGTCCACGTATTTACCACAGGGAAACACCTAATATTTTACGGCTGGCAAAGTTGCTGATTTCAGTTCCTTTTAGAAATTAAACAACTGTATTAGTCATTTTTATCTATTTCTCTTCTCCCTTTCTGTAGTCTATAAAGGTGTCACCAACCACGTGGTGAGGCAAAGGACACGAATTTAATTTTGGGACGCCACTGCAAACCCCATTAATCGGGAGGTGCAGCCACACGACATATTAATCAATACTCAGAGAAACCAACTTTGTTTTACATAAAAAGTACTTAAAAACACTGTCTAAAGTGATCCAAAATTTTCTGAATTCATTATGAAATTGAAAGTGAATCTTACAAACAGCTGCAAGACGATGATGAGATATAATGCGGTTTAAAAATCTGCTAACCTTCAATATTTTCAATGTGCGACACTGTTTCCATCACGTACAAACATCACCAATACATTCCTAAGAGAATTGAACACAATCTAAAATGGGTTCTAAAACAAAATAACATTTTAGAAATGACCTGCCCCAAACCCCCCCTCCAATAAAAAAGGAATAAAAGAGGGGGAAAAACAAAGATAAAGAATGTGACGACATTAATTTGAAGAAATGCGCTGTTGGGCGCAGGTGTACAGCAAAATGCTCGCTGTCTTGCGGGCATGGAACTAACCCCATCTCATACTGGCGGCAGCAAGCTTCACGGAAGTCGGTCACCGGACTCAATTCCGCATAGACGGGCCTTCCACCAAACCAACGATTATTCAGATCAGAAACAGCTTTCTCTGCGTCTTCCTCTCGCCGGAACTGCGGAGAATGAAAACGAGTTACACCTTTTACAAACCTTACAACGTTCCAAAGAGCGCAAAAAGAACGGGCTTACCTTGATATATACATTGCCCACCAGGTGATCCCCCAAATTGTCACACACATTCATTTCTTCTATTTCTCCATACTGAAACAGTAACACGAAGTAACCGATTAAGACTTCGCTGAAAGCAAGAGTTTTTCTGGTGGTATGTAATGGTACGCACAACTGTCTCTAATTATAGATGGAAAAATTATAAATTTGTCTCTGTCCCTAATTAACCCTTTCAAGTACAATGATAACTATATGTACCACCAGCTTCAACAATCATTAAGTCCTCATTTTATAAGATTCTATAAACAGCAATTATTTCCTTAAACGGCTCCACGAGTCGTGGTGAAGGGATGAAAAATTGAGAAATTATGACGTAAGACTGGAGTAACACTGTCACCAGTCACACCCATTGTGATGTTGGTATCTTGACATCGAGAAACTTCAATTACCCACCAGACTAAAGGAATAGAAAGGAGATGGGGACAACAATTCCTTTATTCTCGGAACGAGTCACAGACTCGATCCTTGAATGACGATACAATTAACGACTGTAAAGTTGGATTCTGGCGAGTGCCAATTTTATAACATGGAGCTATTATAAAATTCAGTTCATTTATAAAATAGTAACAATAATAACAAAACAAATGAACAATGATACTACAAACAACAGAGAAACTCAAGGTAATAAAAAACATTTTTGTACCAAAGATAATGTTCTTCATTCAGAAGCAGGGCAGTTACGCATTCACACATCACTCGCTCGCTGGACCACCTACGTCACAAGTATTTACTTAGACCTCACATACAGTACACTTATCGATGCCCAACGCAAGAGGAAACCGACGCACTGAACCAAACACACAGCAAGAGTACGGTATCACTTCCTCTTATCACTGCCACAGACTTGTGGCAATTCATGACAACCAACGCAGTGACTGCCCATAGCGCAGAGGCCTTGCTGCGGCACAGCTGCCAGATGTCCCATCGCTGTACAACGAACTATTTTAGAGAAACTTATGTTCTGAACGAAATTCAGAGTAAGACAGAACATTTTACATTTTGTTACAAGAATTTATCAGACGTGTCTACGGACAAATCCCTTCGTCTAACTACTGATTTTATCCGCCAGAATAATCTACAAAACTGCTGACAGCTGAAGAGAATCCTTATTCTGATTACCTTATCTTCACACTCCACGAAAACATCTTCGAAGAAGTTGTCATAATGCTCCTGCATTTCTTCATCGGACACATTTGCAACCACTGAAATGAGAAAACGATTAACACACTCCCGACCGCCAACGAAGACTTACTTAGAGTTCTCGGTCTATATTTTTTATGCGTGACGGTCTTCAATACATTCCATAACGTTAATTCTACCAAGAATGTTTCAACATGATGGGATGTCAGAGTTCAGATCTTTGGAAATGGATGGCATTACTAAAAACATTTTCTTTCTTTCGTCATTCAATTTATGGTCTCTAGGAACTTCCTGGATTCTGCCTGCCCATCAAGGGTGAAGGAATTCACTTCCAGGGTGAGAGCACTCACAGGGCAGAAATTCCACTTAATCCGAAAGACAGACGTTGAACGTGAGGGGACATACAGCTCACAGTAGGATCGAAACCACAGAGCAGATGCTGGAATTCCCACATTTTCCACTCACATGTGAGGAATGGGAACTTTAATTTTATTTATTTATTTTTGCAGTTCTTTTGTTCAATGTACAAAAATGACAGTGAAGCCAGCCAGTCTTGAACCCAAGACCTTTGGCAAGTGAGCTCAGGATCTTACCACTAGACCACCTGACAGCCACAAACTAGAAAACTTACAAATGTAATATTTGAGGTTTTCACAGCGGTGAGTCTGAAGATTTCTGTCTTCTCGGTTGTCGCGCCGTGTATTTTGGTAGATGGTAACCAACATTTCAGAGGTCATATTGCCTCCGTCGTCAGGGCGATCGGTAAACATCGACCAGACTACGCAGCGCAACAAACAAGAAGACAGAAATCTTCAAACTTACAAATGTTTGATTTTTTTTAGATGCCCGTCGGCCAGAGACCAGGCAAAGACAACCAGAGAGGTTAACAATAATTTTCTTTTAATTTTAGACACAGAGGAAATGACAATCTGGCAACTGGTTCTAACGCAGAACAGAAAGCCAGACCAGAAGGTGCGGGCATCTTCAAACACTTAAGAAGGAACCTAAAAGTCTACATAACTCTGGCCGACAACGACTTCAAATTATTAGGCTTGAAAGTCTTTGAAACAGAAATATGTGCCAACTGGTTTAATTTCTTTCTCTGAACTCTTACATCTCGCAAAAAGCGACCGGTCCGCAGGATTGTCACTTAAAAGTACTATCCAGTCGGGAATGTGTTAAGTTAGAAAGCCTGATTTGTTTATCTGAATCATGCTTCGTCTATACAATATTCTTACATCAGGCAGACACTTTGATATTCTTTGGCACTCACTTATTATAATCTTACTACAAAGAATACAGAAAAAGTGTTTTCTACCATAAAACACGGGATCGTAATTCTTAAAGTGCAATCTCATAACAAACAACTAAGCAGATATTACTTAAAAATATATAACAATGTAAACACAGCAGCAGTAAATGCTCTGCTCATTCACGATATAAACCAAGACAGACGACAATTACGCATTAACAGCTTCGTGATAATTAAAGTCAGTGAAACGGAGTGTTACATATGGAAACAGCTGTTTATTAACATTAACCTTTATCAGCAATGCATCAAGACTTAGATGGCTGTGCTTTGTGCCAGCATCACCGAACAATCAAAGCCCGGAGTTAAAGCACGGCCGGCAGCCCTCCGTCATGACGGTTTAAACCATCGCCTATTAATGTATGATAAAGGTTAAAGGATGTTTGTTCATCCATCACGTTCATATTAACGATTAATATTACTCAGACAGACAGACATGGTAAATCCTGTACGCATTAACTTTGTGCACATTATGGAGGGGAAACAAAAGAAAATAAATAATAAACTACCAAAGAACAAGAAATCAAAAAGGCAACTTTGATTTTAAACAAGCATCTCATTTTATGTAAACACAATAACATGACTTCAAACAATGCACTGCCTCTAGTAATGGCGTACAGCTAAAGGAAGTATGGCATTTAATAAAATACTGGAACTATTATTGCAGCATAGTGTTGTACCTTAATTACGTTCACTTCTACATGTTAAGAAGAAATCCGGTGAGATTCACTAAGAGTCAGAGTTCTTAAGAACTGATTCAGAAGAAAATATTTTTTAACTTACAGTGTGAGCCATCAGCTGATTTTGCAGAATTCTGTGGATTCACGTACAAGTTCTGGAGAAGGACAGTCTATAAGAAAACAAGACCGGCAACGTAAGATACGGTACTGTCTATTATACAGTTCTGTTTCAGAACAGCAAATGATAACAACGTACAGAAAACATAAAGAGTTTTATATCTGTTAAACAGAGCAGTCAAGAAGCTTAGTAATACGATTGAAAGCTAACTTTTTATATTAAGACTTACATGCTCACTGCAAATAAACACACACGTTTAATATCTTCTTAGCTGCTGTACATACAGTTCTTGTGCTACTAGATACAAGGTACATTATTTAATATTAACGCTGTCTAGAAATACAACAAAGAAAAAATAAACTCCTTGTAAAGAAAACATAACTACAAAACATTTAAATATATTACAGGTACACTAACCTGACTGAATGTTGGCTTGTTATGAATTCGTGAACAACGATCTCCATGTCTGCAAGCCCCTATCTTGAAATAAAATGAGCAGTTTACTCTGTGAAAATAAAAATTGTATTAAATTTACTTAACAAGGCACAATAACCACAAAATTCTCATTAGCAGTCTTTGATAATGGCATGATTTCCTAGCCTCATAACTTTCGTTTTCTATTAATTTCCATTTCAGGTTGGAATTTCAAAATAGTTTATGGCGACTAAGCATAATAAGTATAATTAAAACTCAAAATTAAGTACTCGCTAATAAAACGGTTAACGCCAGCCTGATAACAGCAGAAAAGAAATTACTTATGTCAGCTCTTTCTCATAAAAACTTCAATATTTCGCTAAAATGAGCAATTTCAGTGCCGGTTAACCCACCTTTGTTCTTAGTATTATAATAAATGGAAATTACAATTTTTTGATAAATCGTTTCTTGGTTGAAGTTCCATACAATTTCAAAGCGTGAATAAGAGAGCAATCTTAAGATGGCGTTACAACCGGGTTTACTCCAGAAAACAAGCACATAACATTATTTCGAGAAACTTACTTGTCTTTTTCAGTGCCGAAAATTGAAGCCAAGTACTCTGCCATTTTGTAGCAATTACAATTCTCCTGACATCAAGAATAGTTACGAAAACACAGTACCGCTACCAAATAACAAAAACCTGTTACAACACTTAACCTCCACCTTTTCTGTTTTACAAGCTTTATCTCTGTGACGTAATCCACAGACTATCAACAATTGAAGTTTGTGCTTTGTAATAAATACTACTTCTTGTTCCGGTTGCTGAGTAGCCAACACAACAAATGTTAAATTACTGTGAGTTACTGATATTTACGTTGTATACAAATGACTACCATTAAACGTCAGACGATGAGCAGTAGACGTCCTGTAATTAGCTGCACATAGTATTACAGACTATCTTTTTCAGGTAATATATACTTTTGTGGAAAGAGTTCCATTAAGTAGAAAGTCAATGGAGACTCAAGTTTTACATTGCCAAAGCATATTACAAAATTCACCAATTAATGCATTTCAAGAGGTGAGTAAATAAAGGTTAGGTTCACGGTCTCCCATCATGTAATATAATACATAAGTTTCTGCAATACTATATGGCCTAACATCCCAGAAGACAATCAACTATACCTGAAGTATGTCTGACTATTAATGAATGTATACAAAAATCCCACTAGACTCATGAAAATGTTCTTTTCTTTTCCAGTTTCTTCATTCTTGTGTTAATGATATTTGTGGCAGGAAAAATGCCCCATATGAAAACTTCAAATCGGTAACAAACTGGACCAATGAAGAATACAAAGTTGTTACAAGTAGTATGAAACACCTGTTCATAGA